CGGTGCCGTGGATCACTCTGGTTCTGGGAGGGCAGGGTGCGAAGTGGACGATCACGGGGGCGAATTCCATGGTGGACCTGCGGGATTCCGGGAAGAATGTGTTGTGCCTGGCGGTGGTGGACGGAGGCCGGAACCCTGGGGCTTCAATCGTCATCGGCGGTCACCAAATGGAAGACAATCTTTTGCAGTTCGACTTGGAAGGTTCGAGATTGGGGTTCAGCTCCACACTGTTAGGAAGGCAGACCAACTGCTCCAACTTCAATTTTACATCTTCAGCTTAAATAAAAAATCAACCATTTCATAACACTACAATAATGGCATTTTTACAGAGCCAGGAATGTCAATTTTGCATCGGCAATCAGCTTAATAATGTCATCTTAAATCTCCAATAAGGCAATAATCACTTATTGTTGAAATATTATTGAATTAGTCATCTTCTAACTATTCCTGATTAGGAATTATTATCACCATTACATAAATAATTAGGAAATCATAATTGTGATTTCAAGGTGATAAATGTGTGGCTCACAATGATCTCCTAATCTCATTGAGCTCACACTTTCTCTTATAAATAGGAGTCATTCTCATTGTAATTAACATACCATTACAACACCATTATCACACTTCTAATAACATCTTTCTCAATAAGTATTCAGACTATACTTTCTCTCCCTGATCTTCTGCTTATTTCATTCCATTTTATAACACGTTATCAGCACGAATTTGCTCCAAATCTTCAAAATCATCATCTTCCCATCAGGTATATACTTTCTGGAATTTATTAATTCATGTGAAAAGAAAATCAGAGAATGAGAAGTATAACATGTTTATATATATTCAAAACTATAAGAAGTATGTTCTATGGTTGCCCAACAATTGGGATCCTCCATATCAGAAAATTATAGCTATATATTATATAAAAGAGGCCGAAGAGGAAGAAAGACATACCTTTATACTAATATGTTCTTGAGATAAAATATGCTCTGAAATCTGAACTTTTGCTTGGGAAGAATGTTTGACAGCATATATCAGAGATTTTCATGTATATATGATAATATGAACATATTGTACTAAATACATACTTCGTATGAACTAAATCCGTATGAATATAAGAAGAGCATAAGCTCATCAATCACATGAATCCATCAACTAATATACTACGTAGTAGATAGTATTAGTTTTCTTTTCCTCTCTTCAACATTTGATAGTAGCATAAATACAATCTATTTTTATATCTTCATAGACTATAAAAAAAAAAGGAACTCGATATGAAGTACTCTGTAAAAAAAAAGGAGAGACGGTGAGGGGAAATTAGTACGTTGTTTGCTTTATATTCGAACATCATCATACAAACTAATTCATTGAATTGATGTATAAGAGCATTTATTTTTACTTGTCTTCTTCCTTTGAGAAGACACTTACATAATTGATATAATAAATACGGAGTACATCGTAGTATCTCTCTCTATAAAACCAACTACTCCGTATTTCACATGGGTGTACTAACACTACCACATCTTTTTGTACGTCATGATATTATGAGTTGGGTTGACACAACAAATATCCAGGTTTCGTGTAAATTGCATGTATTTGCTACTTAGGGGTGAGATAAACAAACTGGACAAATAAACGGTCTTATCTAAATGGCCAGACACTCATAAAGCACTGACAATTTTCTGGAGTCATGGGTTGTTTATTTTTACTAGCACCAGTACCACATATATTGATATACTCCGTATAACTCACGGGTCTACACGGCAATTTAATTTAATGAAGTAATTATCATAGTGCCTTCATATATACTCGGTACATAATATACATACTCCGTACATCTTATAGAGATCTATTGAGCTATTCAGTTATCCATCTCAAGGATTGGTTTAATGTTTTTTTTTTTAATTCATTACATATATACATTGAGAGAACATAATAAGCTACTCCCTAACATTAAATGAGATGACTCATGAGTCATGACTGTCCTGACTCCTGACTATGGTCTCTCATGCCGACATATACACGTGAAGTTTTTTTTTTTTTTTTTATGTTGACTTCACTATTTTGGCTTTTCCCAACACCATTTCAATTTAAAGACCCGGTGTATAAATAAATAAAAATGAAATGGATTTAATACTGAGTATAGATTACTACATCTACGCATATGAAATAATTAATAAATAAAAGTGATAACAATAAATTATACGTATACCTCTTGATTTGGACTTTGGAGGAAGTTCATTATTGTTTTCTTTTTGCTACCTCATGTGTGTGAAATGTTTTTTCAAGACAATCACTTTGACTAAAATATTACTTAAAACCGATGAACTAAAATTATTTGAAAAATGGACTGCTGTGTTGTATATTGTTAAAACCAAGACAACAATTTATCCATCAAAGACATACGGTTACTATAGTATATTATTTCTTTTGAAATAATAACTTTTGATTATTATTAAGTTACACATCTCCAATTGTTAAGAGGGCCCCTTAACAATTGGTATGACAGTAACTTGAACCAAACGGTCATTATGTACATTTCTGTCAATTGCCGGGAATAACCCCTCATAACGGCACTCATGATCGTTTTTAATCTCAAATGATGAGGTCGAAATTAATAAGAAGTAAATATGTGACCTAAATCACTTCTCTTATTGAAAGTCCGAATAGAGTAACTCACTTTATTTTCTCCTTGTTATCTAGTATGGAGTATATTTCAAAATAGAAATTTAAAGTAGTGCTTATTTTTAACGTGAAAGTTATGCACAATTAAATGTACTATTAAGTGAAGTACAATTTATATTACAATATTGAACTAATATTTGTTCATTTTATCTTCGCGAAGATATGGAGTTAACTAAAATTTCTCCAAGTGGCTCTGAACAATGTCTAATAGACAGTGCCACAACGCACACCATTTTGAGACATAGAGATTATTTTTCTCATATGACATTAGTTGATGCTAATGTCAATACAATCTCAGGTGTTGCTAAACTCATTGAAGGTTCCGGAATAGCCTATGTGATTCTCCCAAAAGGGACAAAATTAATAATTAAAGACGCTTTATACTCCAGTAAATCACGGAGAAATCTTTTGAGCTTTAAAGATTTGCGTCTAAATGGTTTTCATATTGAAACCATGTCTGAAAATCAGAAGGAATATTTATGTCTAACGACAAATAGATCTGGCAATAAATACATTTCTGAAAAAATGCCAGCATATTCCTCGGGACTGTATTATACATATATCAGTCCAATTGAGATAAATGTGGTATCTAAAATTTATGACCACAATTCTTTTATCTTGTGGCATGACCGTTTAGGTCATCCGGGCAACACTATGATGCACAAAATTATTGAAAATTCACTTGGACATTCATTAACTAATGTCAAGATTCCACAATCAAGTGATTTTTCGTGCACTGCCTGCTCTCTTGGCAAATTTATTTGGGTCCAATTCCCCCATCTACCGATGCGGATTTGGAATGAGGATGTTATTAGTGAGGTGGCATCTAAGGTGGGCTTACCCTTGACTACGGATAGAGTTACTCTTGAAAAGGCAAGATCTAATTTTGCAAGAGTCCTAATTGAAGTTGATGCATCCAAACCACCTCCACTTGAGCTCAAGATAAAGCTACCTAATGGGAAACTACACACCCAATTTGTGAGGTATGAAACCTTTCCAAACTATTGTTTCCATTGCAAAAAGTTTGGTCACCATGCCTTCACTTGTACCATCATTGCCGAGATTGAGAGGCAAGAAAAAGAAAAAATATTAAGAATAGCTAATGGCATGAGTGAGGATGACGTGGGGACAGTTTCGGGCGGCAGTGATACCAAAACAGTTTGCGAAGAAGTTGCCAAAACAGTTTGTGAAGAAGGTGCCAAAACAGTCCGTGAAGAAGGTGCAAAAACAGTTAATGAAAACAAGGTTGAAGTGGAAAATGATCTTTTTATCACCAAAAGAGATCACCCTTTCTTTAAGAGATTCCGATTCTTTAAATTGGGGAAGAAAAAGCCCATTAGAGGTGAGGTTGCTACATCCGATTTCAAGGATGGTGAGGATGTACTAGTCCGGAAAGTACACAAGCTTCATGATACCTACCAAGATGAGGTGATAATTGACATGGAAACCGATGAAGTTCTTATGCCTACTATCAATGTTACACACAAAAAACATGTTGATAAGGATGCCATAATCCTAAAGATGGATCATCATCTTAAAATTGTGGATGAGGACCAACCCGGAATGCTATTTACAAAGGAAACGTTGGAGGGGCTGCCCGGTATAACAAGTACCAACAAAGGGTACACTTTCTGCCCTACCTTTATGAGAAGTGTTTTTAGACACTATCTTTGTAGATATTATGAAGATGGATGTCCAAGGGGGAAAGCATCTCTTGTGAAACGTGCAAACATGGTTGATTACAACAAAGTACGTGTGGTGAAAGATATTAGGGATGCTTACCGGGATGATGTAATTGTGAAACTTGAACTTGGCGAAGATAATCTACCTTTGATTCACCTACTACATTTCGATGAAGTAAAGGATCAAATGGTGAGGCTTGATAACTACTTGAGAGTCACCCAAGATGTGCTTACCGTGGGGCTCACTTTCACAATCAAATGCTTGGAGGCTATTCCGGGTGTTTTTCCTACGGAGTATGGGTATGATTTTAACTCTTGGTTCATTGAATATCCATATACTTTATTGTATCTTACTAGGTACAAAGCAAGAGCAAAGCCGAGCCCTATTGTTGTAAACAAGGGGACTAGGCCGAGACACCAAGGAAAGAAAGGAGGATGGAGGAACAAGAACAAAAGGGTTTGATGATTGTGTCCACTTGGAATATAAGAGGCCTCAATAAGGTCTCCAAACAAAACTCTATTCTTAAGTTTATCCGCACTAATAATATTCATTTGTGTTGTCTTCTTGAAACCAAAATGACTACTACTAATTTTGTTAATTTTAGTTCAAATAGATTACCTTCTTGGCTATCTATTACTAATTTTGACAAAATTGATGGTGGACGTATTGGCATAATTTGGGACCCCCATTTTGTTCAAGTTAATGTGCTTGAAATTGACAAACAACATATTCATTGTCATGCCACTTGTAAAACTACTCAAATTGAGTTTTTTGTTACTTTTGTGTACGCTCTCTACACGGTGCTTGAAAGACAAACACTTTGGGATCACCTAGCACACTTGGAGCCTAACATTACTAGCCCGTGGCTAGTTATGGGAGACTTTAATTGTGTTGGGAGCCCAAATGAGAGGGTGGGCCCTTCCCCCCCCCTCGGCTTATGGTATGCAACACCTTAATGACTTTAAATTGCAAACTAATCTTGTTGATTGTCCATCCACGGGCCAATTCCTTACTTGGAATAGGGGTTCACTTTGGGCTAAGCTAGATCGAGTTCTCATTAACTCATTTTGGTCCACTTTGGATATTGAGTGCAAAACACATTTTCATGATTTCGAGCCTGAATCCGATCATGTAGCCTCCATGGTTTCCATTGGGAAAGGTAATGGGGCTGCGTCTCGGCCTTTTAAATTTTTTAATATGTGGCAGAATCATGAAAAATTCAATTCCATCCTCACGACCCACTGGGTTAGCGAGGTCTATGGTAGCTCTCAATTCATTCTTGCCAAGAAATTGAAGGACCTTAAAAGACCACTTAGGGAGCTAAATAAACTCCATTTTGGCCACATTTCCGAAAGAGTTAAGGATTCCAAGAAAGAGTATAAAAGGCTCCTCGGGCTCTCTATACTCTCTCCGTTGGATGAAACTATAAAAGAAGAACTCTCCTTGACCAAGAAAAAACTTCTTAACCTTAAAGTAGCCGAAGAAGATTTTTTTAGGCAAAAGGCTAGGGCAAATCATCTTGTTCAAAGTGATAAATGTACTAAATATTTCCATGCTATTGTGAAAAAGAATATGGCTAGAAATTCCATTACGGCTTTAAAACTCCAAAATGGGAATTCTACCACTTCTATTGACCAAGTTGCTACGGAATTAGTGAATTTTTATACTAATTTGTTTGGTGCCTACTACCCCACTTCCGGGTTGGACCCCTCTGTGGTGGCCTCGGGTAGGCGTTTACCCGCCAATGCCACTCTTGGCTTGGTTGCCCCTATCACCGATTTGGAAATCAAGGAGGCCTTGTTTGATATTGGTGATAACAAATCACCGGGGCCGGATGGTTACACGTCCGCGTTTTTTAAAAAAAATTGGAACACCGTTGGTTTTGACTTTACTAGAGCCGTGAGAGGCTTCTTTGACTCTGGTAGGTTATTAAAGCAAACTAACCATACGGTTATTGCTTTAATACCTAAGACCAATCACTCTCCCACACCGGCGGACTTCAGACCAATTGCTTGTACTAACGTGGTCTACAAAGTCATTACCAAAATTATTTCTAAGAGGATGACCCCGTGTCTACCGGACCTCATTGACCACGCCCAAGGGGCGTTTGTTGATGGAAGACTTATGATTGATAATGTCTTCGTTGCACAAGAATTGATTAAGGGATACTCTAGGAAACGTGCATCTCCTAGATGTATGATAAAGGTTGACCTCCGGAAAGCCTACGATACTATATCCTGGGATTTCCTGACTGCCATGTTAACCCATTTGGGCTTCCCGGGCAGATTTATACATTGGATTATGGAGTGTGTCACAACACCTTCCTATTCCATATCTATTAATGGGGTGCTTCACGGCCATTTTGAGGGTAGGAGAGGGCTTCGGCAAGGGGACCCTATGTCCCCCCTCCTATTTGTCCTTTGCTTGGAGTATTTTTCCAGATTGTTGAACATTAGGACCAAAAATCCTATGTTTAAACATCACCCCCTGTGTGGATCCCTTAACATATCACATGTGGCATATGCTGATGATCTGATGCTTTTTTCTAGAGGGGATACCACATCTATACAGATTCTCACACAGGCCCTGGAAGATTTTGGTAACATATCTGGCCTCAGGGTCAACTATGATAAATCAAATATCTTCATTGGTGGTAATGCATATTATGAGCTTGACACTATACTAGAACTGGTGGATTTCAAAATTGGTACATTCCCGGTCAAATATCTAGGGGTCCCCCTGGCACCCTTAAAGTTATCTGTGGCCCAGTATGCACCACTTTTGGAGTCCATAACTACTTTCATTAATGCTTGGAGTATTAAGTCCTTATCTTATGCAGGCAGAGTTGAGCTGATAAAGTCAGTTATACAGGGAGTGCACTCTTTTTGGTTACACATGTTTCCCATCCCTAATGTTATTCTCGATAGGATTACATCCATCTGTCGCATTTTTCTTTGGGGAAGCAAATTCGCTAAGGTTGCCTGGGCTGATATTTGCCTCCCTAAAGAAGAGGGTGGACTTGGCATACATGACACGAAAGTTTGGAATAAGGCTTTACTTTCAAAAACTTTTTGGGATATACATACTAAAAAGGACACACTTTGGGTCAAGTGGGTCCATGGGGTTTATCTCAAGGGTAGGTGTGTGTGGGAGTTTGTCCCACACGAAAGAGACTCACAATTGTTTAAAAAGATTGCACAAATCCGAGATGAAATACTCTCCAAATTTCAGGACATCCCGAGTGCTATACTTGGCTTAAATGCCTTTCAAATGAATGGTAAGCTTGTATCCTCCAAGGTTTATGATTTGCTTAGGCATAGGGCTGCCACCCGAGTGTGGATGCCGTTTATTTGGAAAGACTACATCCCTCCCAAGTTTTCCTTTGTTACTTGGTTGGCATTCCGTAACAGATTAGCCACGTGTGATAATCTTCATAGATTAGATGTGGATAATACTTGTGTATTGTGCAAGGGTGGACCGGAAACGGTTCCACACCTCTACTTTGAATGCTCTTTTTCAGGAAAAGTTTGGGCTATGATGAAAGCATGGATTGGCATTCCACGAATGATGGGGACCCTAGCTAGTGCGGTCAAATGGATCAAGAAGGAAAGGAGTGGAGCTAGTGTACGTGCCAAGGCTGCCAGGATTGCTTTCTCGTGCACCATATACTCGCTTTGGAGAGTCAGGAATGCAGCTCGATTTGATGATTTTTTGCCAAAGGAGGAGGAAGTTTTTGCCAGGATACAATATGTTGTCTATAAAATTCTGTATTGCATCTATCCTTATGATTTGGTAGTACTTTGATAACTTTTCGCCCATCACCTATCTTTGTTTGTGATAGGCCGTGAGGTAGTATAGGAGGGGGCTGTCATGGCACCCTTATTTTGGCAGGTGATGGGTTATCCAATCTTTGGTTAGCCTACATTTTTGCTCATATATTTTCTGATGTACAAACGAACTATTGACGGCTTTTTTTCTAATATACTTACATGTTATCCAAAAAAAAAAATATATAGATAGATTAAGAGAATAATTAATATTCAAGGGAAGAAGATAAGAAAATAACTCACAACTTTAATAATCAACAAGCTTCAAAAGCAACACCAAGAAATGGAAGTTTAGCTCCTCATTTGGAGACTAAACATGCTATAAAAATATAAAAGAAATACTATTCTAAACTAAGCTTAAGAGTATGGAAGAAGGGATGATTCTTTGTGAAGGAAAATGGGGTTATTTATAGGTGTTTTTCAACACCTTGGGCCGGGTACCCGACCGGGTTAGGTGCTTACCCGACCGGGTCCGGTCAAAATCAGATATCCTCCACGTTCTGGCGATCTTCGGCACGTTCTGGTGTCCCGGGTCAAGTCTGACCCGACCGGGTCAAGTAGGGGACCCGACCGGGTCTAATGATTTTCCAGGCAGTTTCGGATTTTACATCAGACCCGACCGGGTGCATGGTTTGACCCGACCGGGTTTGTGCTCCTGGGCACACTTATCACCTTTTTCTTCACTTCAAACTCTTCCTTTCCAACACGATAAATCCTAACTCTACTTTCCAACTTACAAATGAAGATTAAAATACAATTACAACTAAAATCACATAAATGTTTACAAACTAAATAAAACGATAAACAATACACACAAATCAAACATAAAAACATACACTTATGCACTACTAATTAGTGCATATCAAGAGTATAGCAAAAGGGTTGGAGACCTGAGCCGGAAAGAAATCGACACCCAACAGTGGTATCAGAGCCAGGTTGTTGTCGCCGTCGATTTCGCCAGGTTCCGCCGTCTGGAAAGTCTCCGCCGCCGTCCGCCGTCCGCCGCCGTCCGCCGCCGCCCGCTGCCGCCCGTCGATTTGAGGTCTTGGAGGTCGCTGCACACCCGCTGAAGCTTCACTCGTCCTGGTAGCTGCTGGAAGCTTGCCGTCACAGGGGGGTTGCTCACCGGGAGTCTCTAGAGCTCTGCTCGCACCTCATCCAGGCCCAACTCGCCGAAGGACGCCTGCTCGTGCGTTCTTCGATTCAAGGTCTGAAGAAAATTGCCGCTTGATGCTGAATCGCCGTCCAGAAGCTGAAGGTTGGTGTTGAAATCGTTCTCGCCGGAAATCACTGGAGGTGGTCGAGCGCCGCTGCAGGGAGTCGTCGCCGGAGGGAGAGCTCGCCGTGGTTTGCTGAGCTCGAGGCCGGATCTGGAATCTCGTCGCTGAAGCCGTCGCTTGGAAACCGCCCAAAACCGCCTGCTGTTCGTCGATTCCGGAGTTCGTGGGTGGAGATCGTCGCTGGAGCCGGAACTGGTTCGCCGGTGGAACCATCAACCGCCTGTCGACGCCAAACGCTGAAGACGCCGTCCGCCGCCGTCTGAGAGTCACGCCGGAGTCAGCCAGTAACCACCACGATCTGCTGGGTTCGTTGCTCGCAGAAGGACTTAACGCTGGAGTTCTAATCTCGGGTAGAAGGAACGCAAGCTTGCTGGAGGCTGATTGCTGCGAAGCTGGGCCTGGTTGTTGGCCGCAGAAGGGATTTTCACTATTAGTGGGGCATTGGGCTGCACTTGGTTTGGATGTGAAGCTGCTGCTGAGCTCCTGAACACTTTGGGCTGGAACAAAGCTGGTCAACTGCTCGGTCAAAATCGGTCAACGCTGGTCAAAGGCAGTCAACAGTTGGTCACCAATCAGTAAACTCCCAATTTTTGAATTGGGTGGGTAAGGTCGAAACGCCTCTCCTAGGGTTTCGCTCCGGTATATTGACTTTAATCCCTTTTATCGCTTTTGTAGTGATTTAATCTTTTATTGTGTAGAAATCTATTTTAGGTTTATTACTGCTTTTAAAATTGATTGAATTATTGTATTGTGTTGTGCTGAAAATTTATTATTTATTTGTGCTTATACGGAAGAACAAGGGGTTTGAAGTTGAGTTTGGTGCTCATTAATACTCCCCGCGTGTTCGTGCTAGTTGCTCCGTATAGTTGTAGCCTTATAAATATTTAAATTGTTTTTCAGCAAAATTTACATTTTCTTTTGTTGCTTATTTTTTCTCTGTGAAATGTCTGCTTATAATCAGTATGGTATGGCTCCATTTAATGGAAAATCTGATTTTAGCATTTGGAAGCAAAAAATTAAATGTATTTTAATACAACAAAAATGTTTTAAAGCA